AATGGGTTTTACATTAAAATAAAAACTGAGGAATAATCAGCTTAAAACCCCCTTTCTAAAACAGCACAATGTGGGTTAAAAGGGACAACAACAATGTATTAAAAATTAGGTTGTAATTGATATTTCAACCACTCCATTCCTTTGACTTTACTGTACTTGGCTGTGGCTGATATTGGTTCACTACTTCCAGGATAGCATCCCATTGTCCTCTAAAAATCTCAGAATGTCCTAGTACAGTGATTATAATTGGCATCTTTTGCTGAAATTACTGGAACAAGTCAGGGTGAATTCAACAGCTACAGTAGTTTGGAGGAAATGAACATCTAATTATTCTGTGTTGCTGGTCACTCCGAGCTGATCTGATGTAGTTCAGGCAAACAACACCTGTCCCTGGAGAGAAGGCAGACAGGCTCTGACAGCATGGGTCTGTGGAGCACAGTTTATTCTAATTCCTCTACAGGACATTAATAAGCAAAGATAGTGACCGTCTTAATGGGCAGTCAGACAGATTTTAAGTGCCCCATGGAGTGTAATCCACGGAAGTACAGCAGTACTGCTGCAAGGCCCAACAGACTGTTCTTAGCCTTCATTTTGCAATAACTCTGCTTATAAGCTGTTCATTAAAAAGAACACGTGCCCATTATGTTTTAAGCCCTGCCTCTGAGATCACCACGAGCCACAGTCAAACCGGGTCATCAAATATTTCCATACAATTTAGATTTAGGGACTTATGTTTAGTGCAAAAAAGCAGATGACCATTCTTATAAGCAGCCTTTACCTATTAATGTAGATCTGACCTCCCTCTTTATTATCCTGATACAAACTGAACACAATGAAATAATGTAAAAAAATTAAAAAAAAAAAGATAATAGTTTATCATAAACATCCAGGGCTGGCCAGGGAATTTCAAGGCAAAGTTCAAAGATAATGTCACAAATTGACATTTCATTTAGGGCAAATTGTTATTATTTTTTCAGTTGTTCTTTTTGCATGATGACCTCGTTACTGAAAAGTATAGTGATCTGTATCCTCATGTTATAGGAAACACAACAGCTTGGATTTATGATCATCTAAAATCTGGGTTTAAATCAGTTTATCCAGTGTAGACCTCTTTTTCAAAATTGCTTTATTTTCAGGTAAAAATAGGTAAAACTGGCATAATGAGCCCTACTTTTATGTTCATTTTATTAACTTGAATTAAGCACTTTGATTACAATATTCTGTTTCTGAAGTCAGCCAGTAATTCACCACACATAGTAATATATAACCAGTGCTTACTGACCAAAATTTAATAAAACAACAATCACAAACTGGTATTTTTTTGTGGTCTTGCAGAGGGCAGTGTATGTGGTGCAGCAAACTACTGAATATAACATTTTCATCCTACGCTTAGACTCTGTGACTGCAACTGTGTGGCGCTGTAGCATCAGTCTGGCCAACAGCCACAGTGAAGATCAATGTCCCCCCCATAATCACTGCACTTGTGAGAGCAGTGCACACTATGACTGAATTACTCCAGTTATATGAACCTAAGTACATGTATACACTTCATATACAGAGTATCTGTTGTATGTGACAAAGGCGGTGTTTTATTCTCGTCTGCTGCTTCAGCCCTCAGTTGCTGTAGGGAGGACAGCTCCATGAGTGAATCTGCAGAGAAGCTCAGTTACCTTCAAAGAGAAACCTACAGCACACACTGACATCAAACACAAATGAATTTTGCCCAGCAGAGTAGGGTTCAAAAACTTGTATCAGTGGGCTCTCAGAATAGGCAGACATTTCACGCACACCCACTTGTGACCCTATGTTGCAAAAGCTCTGCAGCCTTGTCAGTAGCTTTCAAAACATTTGTGTAAAGACTAATCCCTTCGTCTTGTCAGGTGTTATACACATTATTACACTGTGCAACGATGTGTAAAATACAGCTGTGCTACCAGCGATGAATGTGTGTACTCTGCATGTGGACATGCGATGTCTGCATTTCTACAAGATAATAGATACTCATTTACCAGTATTGTATGATAGCTGGGTTGTAATGACACTGACTGTAAAGCAGTGTTTTCCCAATACTGTATACATAATGAACGCTGTTGCTGAAATTTCACGTTTCATTAATATTCATGACAAAATGCAACCACTGCAATTTGCACTTTCTACACTGAATACAGTAAACCTGGGCTAGTAATAAACAAAGGGGACTTGTTGGCAAAGGCGGTAGAAATAAGACATAGGCACTAGAATTGAGTTAAATCAAGTGAAAATTTGTGATGAATGTCCACAACAAGGTGGCTGTTAAAAGGCAAGTTAAGCGGTTACTAGGTGATCCTGTTAGGCTACACAGCCTGTTCTACAAACTGCTGTAATACCTGCACATTATGCATGAATTACACAGGTTGGGCATCTAATTAAATAGATATTACGGTGGTGTACTGATGTCAGCAGGGAATACTGGCAAACCTTAAGGAGGTGCCAAATTGTGTGATCAGATAAGATAAGATAAGAAATAAAACTATGAATATTTGTTTTGCACACAAAATCTAAAGTTGTGCTCAAACCATTTTTGATAAATTAGATATTAAACTTTTAAACACCCCATTAATGCTCAAATGACATGGTGAATTAATGGGTAGCTGAGACCTACATAAAAATGTCAAGTTTAGTTTCTCCAAAACACATAGCACATAGTTTTATTTTTGCCAGCACAAAAGTTCACAGACGACACACGGATGAATAATAGTATAATATAATAATAGTATCATCGATATCCCGATCATCATGTGTCGACTTCAAAGAGGCACAAGCTAAACAGGTGCAGCTTTGTTGTGCACAGAGACCGTGTTAGTGAAATTATATTTGAATTACCAGATGAAATTAAAAGATGGGCTCATTAAAAAAAGAGAGGATGATGTGATCATGGAGGAGCTGAGGTCAGTAAAGCAAAGTAGGCATGTGACCTAGTCACCTGCTTAGATAATGAGGGGATGTTTCTTTCACAAGTTAATGTGTAAATGCTTGGCACTTATGAAAAGAGGATGCACATGTAACAGCGCTGCTGCTGCAAAAATTTTAGCAGAAACACTTATAATGTATTTTAAAACAATTCCGTGGCTTCCTCACATTTTACTACTTTACAGTATTAATACAGAGTTGTGCATTCAGCTCTCTAATTATTATATATATGTATGTTTGATTTTCCAGTAGACAGTTGGAAGGAGTTGAACAAACTGATTGAAAAGATAAAATACGCTGAGCGCTAGATAAAATAAAAGCTGGCAAAGCATATAAAATAACAACAACTGTGCACTCACAACTTGGACAACTAAATACAAATTCTATAACACATGTATGTGCGGCTGAGGCAAGAGGGACAGCCATGCACACAGAATGAAATGACAAGCCGTCAGTAAATGAGACCTAGATGCTATTTGCCGACTGCCAGACTGAGCAGGAGCTAAATATGGTCCGAGAGTGAAACACTACTGAAGCATGTTAATATCCATGAGAGAATCAGCTGGGGACATACACAGCTTTATGTCATGTCAGCACGATGCACAGGTTGAGGAATGGGTGCCAGTTGTTACTAAACTATGATGCAGACAAGAAGTACACAGTTCTGTTGTTTTATTGAGGAATAAATCTGTGTTATTACAGTGTGGATTAATAGGCACACAGCCCTCCACTGACCAGAGGTTTGGGGTCACATTTACACATACTCACTGGATAAGTATCAATTAGCTGCTTAATGGCACTTTGATACTCTTTTTTTTTTTAAATCTGCAGCTATTTTTTTCTTTTTGGACATTTTTATGATGCTTTTTCAGATACAGTAGCTTGATTGTAAAAATATGAGCTAGAGAGTGAGCATATTTTCCCAGTGTCATGGTGTCAGTGTGCTGTGACCTGCCCAGTCAGAACTTCCAGTCAGAGTCAGGCTGTTGATCTTGACACATAAGTAAGGACTTATGAACTGAGCTCAACACAGTGACCACACTGTGCAAGCTTTTCCACAGAGACGACTCAGAGTCCCTGTTAACTACAGAAATACATATAATTAAGCACTGAACCCTTCAATATTGACACTGCCAATGCACATTTCACATGCACACTAAGACTGCTACCCCATCACTATACCAGAACAGTATTTTTTTTTTTCAGAATGAAGGAGCCGAGCTGCTCGTGCACCTGTGCTGTTAAAAAGCAGAACATCCACCACCACTGCATCCTTTCAAAAGGAGCCAAGATTTCCTAACTCCTGAAGGTGTCAGAAATGAGAATGTACAGCCCACTTAACTCCGACTCAGGCTTCCCTTTTCTTGAGCCACTGCCCTTTTTTTGTTCGCTTCTCTGGACAAGTTATTTTCTCTCTGGAAGGTAGTGTACCGCTCCCCAGGGTCACCAGCAAAAAGTGCTCTGTCAGACTTTGCTTTAGAAAGCATACAGTGCATTTTGTTCTATCCTACTCCCACCCCCTTTATTTTGAGTCTTCATATTGTATATTTTATTTATTTCATGGGATTCTTTTAGGAGGTCAAATTCATATTTCATGAAAAAGTGAATTTAATTTGCATTTACCAGATTAACTCATTGAATCCAAATTATAACTGGACCTTGCACTGCAGCAGCTCTGCTACTCAGTTAAATGAAAAAAAGCTCTTCATGTCCTTTTGCAATCTCAGCACACAAAAAGCTCACCATGAAGATTATCAGCAATTCTTTTCATCAGGCTGACGCTGACTCTTCTTCTCCCCTCAGCTCACACTGCCTGTCTGCGGCATCCAGCATGCATAGATTGTCCCTCACACTTCCACCGTGCCGCTGCACAAAGCGACCCAGGGACAAAGATGGCAATCTTGCCACGGCTGTTCCAAACCTGATCGGCATGGAAAGTGGCTCATCTCTGTCAAGCCTATGTACAAGTGCCTCTCAGATCTATATCTGACCCAGCTGTCCAATCACATACAGAGGGGAAAAGGAAGATAAAGTGGTATCATCATGTTTACCTCATCCAGAGACTTCAGTAAGAGACTGCCATTCCCAGCACATGCAGCAGAAGGACTCCCATTCATTCTAGAAATCCTGTTTTTGTGCCTGCTGTGTGTCGTCCCCTCCTTCCTCATCCTTGTCCCTTGTCAAAATAGAGGCAGCATTCATAGCATCCCTTTCTATTATTCTGCTGTGCCAGCTGACACCCGCCTTCATGCCTTGGATGATAGAAATAAAGAAAGAAGGAAATATAAAGCAAAGAGAGGACACAAGCTCCCAGGATTTATTGTTCTCCTCGCCAGGCACAAACAGGCGCATGAGGGGAAACGTCAGAGTGGCAGCGATGTATGCCTTGCTCTTCACCTCTTCTTTCTTGTGCTCTCCCTCCCACCCTTCTCCACTGTACCTCTCTTCTCCCTCTTTGTATCTCTCTGTTTCTCTGTGTCCGTAGCTCGTCGGTTCACGCAGACGCAGGCTGCTCTATCATGATGGGTGAGACAACTCTACGCGTGCAGGGACATCTGTGAATGTGCTTATGTTGGGGGACTAAAGTAGCCCCTTAGCTGAGACTGAGACCACCCTCCCCTCCTCCCTTCCAAAGACGGGCTTTCTAATGGCATGTACCATTAACGCTTGGAGCAGGGTGGGCTGCAGCATTGAAAGGAGAGGGGGATGGAGAGAGAAGGAAAGAGGGAGTCACTCAGATAGAGGAACAGAAAGAAAGAAAGGAGAGAGATGGAGAAGAAGTGTTGTAGAAGATGTGGTCAAAGACACAAGCAGAGTCCAGTAAAGAGATCAGAGGTCTGTGCTTCCTGTATTCCCATTATACAATGAACTGAACAGGCAGTTAACTGTTTGTAACTGGCAGACTGTACAAGCGCTACACTTCTATGTTTTTGTTGTAGTTTACACATGACCTCACTCTACAGCTCCTTCATGCCAACAACTTGGACATATGTAAAGTCAATGTGTAAGACAAGGGTGTATGTTAAATGTGGTAGCAGTAAATTACTTCTGGAAGAGCTGCAATTGTGTCACAGATAAAGCATTTCCATATGCATGACTGGCTGCACAGTGGCACACATGCAGAAACATATTGTGGAAACTGCACTGAGGGAACAAAATTTTGCATGCAAGCATGAGTAAATAAAGAGTCTGTCTGTTGCGGAGGTGAAACAGCGTCTGGTGTGAGAATTTAAAAAACCAGCTCACCTCCTCTGAACCAGACAGGGCTCTCTGAGGAGCTGAGCCAGGAGGGCTGGAACATGAAGAGGCGGCTCTAGTCAAGGGTTTTGCAGATTACACCAGGAAAAACAAAATCATGGGAAGAAACAGAGAAAAAAAAGGATGTATTTCCACAGATATACCAGCATCTCTACACATTCAGGTTTCTAAATCTGTCTGATATATTAAACCTCACAAACGGCTTTGCATTTTGCCCTTGCAGTGTGATGGGAAAGAGCAGGCAGCCGCCAAGAGGGAGCTGAAATCACTAAATTGCTGTTAAGAGCACAGCCACCAATATGATGGTGTGTGCATGTCTGTAAGCTTGGATAACCCGAAGAAGAGCCCTAAGATGATCTAGGCACTGTGTGCCACATTTTGCTGCAAAGTGTCATGCGATATTTTGAGCTCTGGCCTCTCATCCTGGCCTCTTATGATTCAAGGTGCAAAATTTTTTTAAAAAGGGAGTTTGACAGAACAGTTTAGTGGAAAGGCTGAGTGCTCCAGGGCATCTTTATCAAGTGTATATATGATATATATTGTTCTATTTTGTGAGGTTGAAATCTGCACATAATAGTAGTAAGTTGGTGATTTTATTACTATGAAACTATAGTAAAGCACGTCTTAATCTAAAGAGGATTCAAACTAGATTTATAAGGCAAATGATTTAATGCATTTCACTCTGTATTTGGTTTTAGTATATCAGAGCAGATACAAATGCAAGCTTCTTAGAGACTGCAGTGTATTCATATAACTTAAATGAACCTGCATAAACAATGTCTCAGAAACAAACCATCCAAACAGCTACAGTATTAACTTCCCATCAGTTTGACTTGATGAGAAAAATTAAACGACCCTCATGACTGTTAAATATAAATGTCAAACTTTTCCTTTAAGACTTTAAAAAAAGATCTACGAACTCTAAGGTTTGCTCCTGTCATTCTTGGTTACACTCTCGTATGCAGGCCAGGTGTATTGGAGACTCCACATGACCTATCAGTGTGAACGTGAGCTGGACTGATTGATATATGAATCATCTGAAACATGCTCATGTGAGGGATTATGAATAAACTTGGCTGGACTATTCAGTTTGCAAACAAAACATAATTACACACACAGTGGCTGATCTACACACAGCCGCAGAGTCGAGGTCATGTGTGTTGGGTCAGTGGATCAGGAATTTGTCTAAAGACATGACTCATTTATCTCCTGCTCTAAGTGTTTTTGATGCACACAGGCTCTTTGTATATGTCAAGCCTGAGCCAATGATGTCTTTATATATATTCTTTTTGGAGGAGTATGATTTTTTTCCCCCACTTCCCATCTGTTGCGTCTTCTCAGGCCTAATAAGAGGGAAACAAAGCCATTGGAGTTCAGATGATGATAGAAACGGAAGTCGAGTACGCCAACACACACACAAACAGACAGGAAAGGGCAACAGATGGTAGGAGCCCCCAGTATGCCGCTGGTGCTGGAGCCAGGCCCGGTGAGCAGGTCCTCCCTGGCCTCACTGGCGGTCCACTGATATCTAATATTCTGAGATACTCTGAAGTGGGGAGTTGCATCCAGACAATGTCATTTTACTTTGCCTGGCAAATTAGACTTTTTGGGAATCGTTGCACAAACGATTCTTTGGTGGATGATAAGTGAGAGTTGTTACAATATCTGCTCCAAACCACACACACACAAAAAAATAAAATAAATCAATTTTGAAACAGTACCACTGAAAGAGAGCCCGTTTTGTTCAGAAAATGTTATCACTGTGCCAGACACAGACTGACATTACCTACGCTTCCAGCTACTACAACTCATTTGAGGAACAAGCACTGAATTGTTTATTTAAAAGCAGATGACAATGTTTGAGGTCTATTATCTCCAAAAACAGTCCATGAGGAAACCAATGCTACTTTTAAAGATTTCGTTTCTTTTTTACTATTTTACTCATACTTTACAATATTATAACTTACTACACAGCATGCAAAAACCTTTCCTGCCTTTTCAACTTCTATTCAACTGGTCCAAAGTAAGCTACACCCAATAAATGCTACAAACATATAGATCAATCTAAAAGGAAACATATTTTAAGTGTCTCTTGTCTCAGTTTAAGATGCTGTAAATTCTAGCTGCAGTGCTGATCATTTTTGCATTTAATTTTAAAAATGTAGTTTTCAGGAACTCTTTGAATTTTACAGTGCGCAACAGTTTCACAGAGTCGTATGGTGCAGGATGGCTCAGAGGCGCACACGTACCAGGGATGAGGAACGACAGAGTGAGAATGGAAAAAGGTGGTGTCAGGGCTGTGCCAGACACAATTTCCCTGAGTTTCCATGAAGGGTGTAAATATGCATGTTGGTGACCAATAACAGTTAGCTTACACAGACTTTGGCAGCTTGTCAGCTGTTTTCCCAAACTGTCTGACTCATACATGTCTGTGAAGCACAATAAACTCCCCCTGCTGTGGCTGAACGACACTGGCATGTTTGTGATGGTTATAAAGAACATTAAACTGATCAATGGGCAGGCGGCTGGCCAAACAGCCTGTGTTATAACTCCTGTGTCTATGGCCTTGGGGTGTATCATTACTTGGAGGTGAGTGTATTGCCTAGTGACCCCCACAGGTAGTGGTCGAATAATGAAGGTGCACTGGCCCTGTTTCCCGATAACAAATGTGCAGCCTTCCAAGTGCCAAAATTAGAGAGCAGCTGTGAAAAGGAGATTAAACTCTGCCCTATGACCTAACTAAAATACAAGAAAGAGCTGTGCTTACCTTATATCTTGGAAAGTTTCATTAGTAGCAACAGCAAACTAAAGTAGAGCAAGGAAATAAGGCTGAAGTTGATTGGACTGCTGGGGCTGTGGAGGCTGGGGAGGCTTGGACTGCGGGGGCAACAGAAAGGTTGCAAACCCAGAACCTTCTCACTGTGAGGCCACTGTGCTGTCCTACTTTATAGTGACCCCGCCGCCACTAGAGACTGGGTACAGAAACAGGAACCGGCTCAGAAGTGGCGTCGGCGATCCGGCTGACCCGCTTGGAAACAGGTACAGGAACCGCAGCCCTACTTGACGGCCTCCTCCTGGTCCTCCCTTTCCCTGGACCCCCAGGACAGATAGCCCACCGGGTTCCCTGGAAGGGAGTGGGTCTCTGTGCTGGACGGGAGAGCGTAGAAGCCATCTGGGCCTTTAGCAGTGATAAATGTCCTGGGCTTAGGTAGGTCTCCATGAGTTGGAGGTTGTAAAGCTGGTGGCAGAGCTTGCTAATTTTCTTCCCCAATGCCGTTGGGTGTGTCTGTGGGGTCCATGTGTGGCTGGTTATGTCTGTTATGGTGGGTGTGTACGGCAGGACTAGTGATCATCTGGCTCAGTCTTCCTCGCTGGCTGAGTTCAGATTGTACTGTCAGGATCGGCGCATGATGCTGCCTATAATGTCGTGGTGAACTCAAAGTACCAAAACAAAAACGCTGGAGAGTCAGAGCTGGAGTCTAGAACAATCTGGCAGGGTCCCGGTGGGAGGACGCTGCATAAATAAGGGTGAAAACAAGTGCAAACATTCAGGAGCAGGTGAAACTAATGTGAGTGATGACTAAAGTAAAAATACCGAAACTGTGGTGAAAACACACAGAAAACACAAACAGGAAGCAATGTCAAAATAAAAGCATGAGAACAGAAACAGGTGGGACTGAATCCTGACAGAAGGAGGAGAAAACATGGAACTGTGATGGCTGTCCAGATTTATGTAGCAATATTAAGCAACACAAATCACATAATTGGATTGTCCATGAGCGTCAAATAATTGTTGAATAGTTCAAGGCATTTTAGCTTGAAATGTCCATCCCTAATAGACAGTAAGTACAGTATTTTACATTAAAAAAACTTGAGTAAAACTTCAGATTTTCTTTAAAATACTCATATCATTACCTTGAGGTGAGTGTATTGCCTAGTGACCCCCACAGGTAGTGCTCGAATAATGAAGGTGCACTGGCCCTGTTTCCCGATAACAAAGGTGCAGCCTTCCAAGTGCCAAAATTAGAGAGCAGCTGTGAAAAGGAGATTAAACTCTGCCCTATGACCTAACTAAAATACAAGAAAGAGCTGTGCTTACCTTATATCTTGGAAAGTTTCATTAGTAGCAACAGCAAACTAAAGTATTAAACTTAGAATGTCTAGTCTTTTTTTTCCTCTCACAAATTGAGTACTAGGAGGGGCCCACTGAGTCTTCGTCACAGTATTTGTCAAGATGGGCTTAGTGCGGATGTGGCCCGTTGGATGGTTGTTTACTTTATTACATAGGAAATGTCAGATGGGTGTGAGGCTATGAAACGGTGCCTTAGCAGC